TTTTGCAAATGACTCAATTTTATACAAAGTAGAAGGGACGATTTGTGTTCTTTTAAGTACCATGTTTACAACCTTCTTCCTTTTCTTAAGTGACAGACCAACATGTTTCAAGAGATTCCTGAGATAATGTGTTTATTATAATAAGCATATTATCTCAACAACCAGCTTATTAGTTAATACATTTTGTGGGGAAATGTTTATTTACTTTAAAACCTTGAATCAGGACAATGCCATATTTTCTTTATTCAAACGATTTGGTTACATGGTGATTTGACAGGTGTTCTCCTGCAACACACTGCAAGGTATGACTCAGTGACCCATCACCATTGTATACCTGTACTGATGTACCACTTACAATACAAAATGCACTGTAGAAATTTGACTTGTTTGGCAAATTTACACACTGAAATTATGTATAGATATTTAAATTAAAAACAAAGATAAAGTAGTACATCTAAAATTTTACTTAGGACCCCACCCTTGCCTAAAGATGATTTATGCTCTCCACTCCCCCTGTGGTTACAAATGACCTCCTGCAGCAATAATGCAATAAGTGTTTTCTCTTATCTGCGTTGTCGGGATTCTTTTTCACTTGGCCTGACACAATTGTGCATTTATCAGTGTAATTGCATGAGTCGGAAGCACTGATGTTGTCTATTAGGCGGATTTCCACCCTGTTAAGAGCAGAGGGCCTTTTAATGTATGGCCCTGCTTGAGTGTACAGCCACACAATTACACAGCGGCCAGCCCATTGAGTGGGGTGATGATGCTGATGATTGCGATGTTGGCGATGGCCGCAGTGATATTGGACCACCCTGCACCCTCCTAACAAGGCTCTCAGATGGAGACTAAGAGTGGAACAACAATGTGAAACCGAGGTTAATCATTTTATTTACCAGTCTCTCTCTCTCTAAAGCCCCCGCCTCTCTTCCTTTCTTTAACCAAGTGATGAAGCCTAGACTGCAGCAGAGGGGGGGCTAGAAATCGATGGGGAGCGCATTACAGTAAAACGTATTGATTAGGAGACCTGCGAGCAGCGTGTTGGTCGCAGAGATGGTGGAATGATGCAATGCTTAAAGGAATTTATCCTTTGACTTTTACATTAACCTTTTATTGACTGCTTTGCCTGTCCATAATTAACACTCACTTTAGCTAAAGTGGTTAGTTTGAGCGCAAAGGGGGCTCAGGCCCTTATTGCGCCAGGGCCGTGGAGCTGCAGTTCAAGTGCTCTGTGCTGCTTAGAAGAAAAGGCCTCAGTGGAATACAGGCGATAGAATCCTAGATACCTTTCACATTAGCATACCATTTAAGTGGGGGCCTGCCGAGCTATAAGGTTTCAGGGCAAATTGAAATGAGTGATTGTATTGCCAATCTTACTTGACCGAGCGCCAGATGGGATAGTTAGGCCCATATCTGTCTCGGGTTAATCCATTGGAACAGCTTGGACTCACAAACACATTTTCTCCCTTCTCACCCCCACCTCCTTCTCTCCTCACACCTCTTTGTCTTTGACCTTAACTTTAAGGTGGACTGTTCAGCCATGGGAAAATCTTTTGGTGAGCCTTGTTTGTACTCCATTGTAGCTTATACTGAAAATTTAGTCAGAGCCCCAGAGAGCTTAAGGAACCTCGCCTCGATATTGACTTTTTGTTTGGTCCCATTTTAGCAGTCAGGCAGCGTTACTCGGTGAACAGCAGTAGGCTGTGTAAAAGTGTGTTCTGAATTATCTTCACTGATTCAGTTCTACAACTATGGTTTTGTGTGTATGTTCTGCTAAGCTAATACATTACCTTGTTCTCTAATGACTGGCATACACCCTATTCACTCTATTAATGTGCAATGTGACATACCTGTAACTCACTCTGGTCACTTTAAATAAGTGAAGAAGATGCTGGCTTTGTGTCCTTGAGCAAGACAATTCACTTAACTGGTGTCTTGAACTTTACAATTGTGGTAGACAATTAAGCATGATATTTATATAAAATGGCATTATGTTTTGTGTATTGTCCCTGCAGACGTGTGCGTATAGTCTGCTGAATGTGTCTGGGTCAGTTAAGCATGTATTTCGCTCACTTGCACTCTCCTCTTGATATGTATTCCAGCCATGTCCTCCTGCTCTTCTGAAGTGCTGCTTCCTTTAATTCGCAGCCTAAATAAATGATGAGAACATTTAAACACACGGCTCGTCGCAAAGCCCCAAGGTCGCTTAATCGTATTATTTATGAAGTGATGTGCTACATAATGGTACTTAGTGCATGTTAACAGATGCTATTATCAGGCCCGGATCCAGAGCGCACAAGATATATTGGAACTGGTGATGTTAATGCTGCTCCTCACTAAGCGTAATGCAGTAGCTCTTTAAGGGGGCTAACTGCACCCAAACGCTGCACTTAGGCTGAGAGCTGGTCAAACATTAAGAGCCTCGGAAATATATAACCACTACAGTGTGGCAGCCATGGTTGTTCCCTGGCAACACAAGCATCTACATGTAGTCCATGCATGACCTGTGTGCCTTTCTATTAGCTCTAATTTACAGCATGGGACAAAAGCCATTAGTAGAAAACCAATGTACTGTCCTACAGTATACTTACAAAAATACTTGAATCAAGCCCAAAGTTCAAATTAAGGTTATGGTGTCTTATTTAGTATGTTATGTATTACTGATATTAACTGAAAGGCAAAACAACAGAGTGAATAAATATGGGAAATGGTTACATTTTTCTATAGCGCTTTTCCACCTTCAAGGCACTCAAAGCACTTTACAACAAGGAACCACTCACCCATTCACACACATTAACACAACAGTGTACGCAGACACTGTGGGCAATGTGGGTTCAGTGTCTTGCCCAAGGACACAATGACAGCATTCATCTGTGGGAGCTGTAATCACATCAGCCAACCTGTGGGTCAGTGGATCTGACCACTCAACCTGTGATGTTTTTGTCGAGAGCTGGACCTTCAGATCAGTGGGCGAATGCTCTACCAACTGAGCTACTGTCGCCCAAATATAAGGTTCAACTGGACAAAGTTCGTTTTTAAAAACTTCTTAATGCTTTGGGTCCCTCCTGGTCAACTGAGGACATAAACTTTTTGTTGGACATGAACAGCAAACAAATATAGCTACATGCAAATTGGTTAATTCCCTGCTCCTGGCGATTCTTTTTATGAATATTCAAATATTGCATCCGACAAAGTGTTTTGTCACTTTAAAAGGTAAACTTTACTAAGAAGAAATAGAAGTGTCCTTACCCATGCTTTTTTCCTTCAGGTGGCTGGTGGTCTTTTTAAGGACTTCATGACTTTGCGGTTGTAAAGAAATTCTTGAGTCACTGCACCTCACAAAACATATAAATGCCATCTTCAAGCTCTCCCCTCTTGCACCTCTGGGGTCAAGGGTCACCCCCATCTGTCAAGAGAGAGAAGGGTGGAGGCAGATTTACTACAACACCAAGTCACTGCAGTAAATATTTACACTGGTTTGACAAAAGATGTGGCATGGAGGTCTATGGTGCTTCCAAACATTGTACAAATCAACCAGCTTTGTTATTAATCATATCAAAATCAGACTACGACATCAAACGCAGGTGTCAGTAGGCTTTGTAGTGCTTCCAGCTAAGAGGAGTGTTACTGTTGTGAAATCATCTTGTGTGTGGCCGAGAGAATGCTTGAGATGAATGAGGCATTCATTAAAGATGTGATATCACAGCTATTAACTTGAGAACAAGCTGTTAGTCATTCGCTCCTCTTCTTTTAATACAATGTTTAATTACCACTTTTGACTTGAGTTGACTAAGCAATTTATTTTAAGCATCTGGTCTCAAGTCTACAATACAATATATTTTAAACTGGGATGCCATATATTGAGGACTCAAACACAGTTTTATTAATCAACATTACTATGTGGATTTGGCAGAATCTGTGATTAGTTTGCTGTAAATGTACTCAAGTGATAAAGAAGCCCCACTGCAATGAGATAAATAAACAGACAGCGTCCTCAGGTTTAAATGGGTGGTATTTTATGAAGCAGGTTATGAGGTGCACACTCTCACCACCTCAGGCTCTAATTGCATTCTACACCATTAGGTGTTGTAAAATGCAACAGAAACACACGTCGTCTCCCTGCTGGTCAAACACGCCTACTGTGTGTTTAAGGAATTGGTCACAAATTCACAAAGTTTACTGTTTAGTGTTTAGTATTCTGATGCAGTTGTCACTTCTATCCATTAGACAAATTTCAAAGTAAAGTCAAAGAAAGTAAATCATATACTTATATAGTGGCATTTATCTAGTCATGTTCAAAGCTGATGCTGAGGTATTCTTGAAATGCCCACATTGATTGTGGTTATTGTCATATACGTACATACGTGTTTGAAGCTACTGTGTGGGTGGAACAATTAGTTGTTACATCACTTACTCACATCATTACTATCTAGTCATCATTATTATTATACTAATTTAATTATAATTATTATGATTTTTATACTGTTAAATTAACCGTTTCATAAGCAACAGTAAATACTTTTGTTAATCCTAAAATTAGTTGTCAATCAGGCATGTGGGGAATACAGTGCAGTTTGTGGCTTTGTGACAATATTGCCAAAGGTTGGGTTGTGTCACATACTTGATAATGCCAGCACAAATACTTCCCCTTTTTAAAAATGCTATTAATTAAGTTACCCATCCCGCTGAGCTGAAAAGCCTGGACACAGCTGCGACTGTATTAGGGCATGCCACTGCTGACCCCAGGTTAAAGGTCACTATGTGGTGTAAACTGATCGACAGCAGACAGATTTATTTATGCCCTTATTATATTTCATCTATTATGTAGGACGCATGCCTTGACATTTCTCTTTGGTTATCAGGCCACATGCCCAGAGCTGGGTGTTTTGAGGGCATCCTGACACTTACCCACATGCTAGCAGAGCGGTGGCTGTCTACCTGCTGGATTTATGAGTTGGACGAGTTAATGGCCGCTTGTTTCCTGTGTCCTGTCGCCTCAGGTGCCACTCGACACTGGCCCAGACATTGCCCCCCGAGGAAGCCCCCGTGGACCGGCCTTTCTGGGGAGTGGATGACCCCAGCATGCCTCTGCCTTTTGATCTGGCGGACATCATCAACAGAGTGGAGTCGCTGCTCTGGAGGTGGGCCCAATTTAGAAGCTGTTTGTGTTTATTGTGTGTCATATGAAACTGGCAACTGGATGGGCTTTGACCTTTAATGCATTTCACTCACGCAAAGATGAAATTAATACAGGTAATTTTATATCGATAGCTGAACTATATTAAATAAATTATCCACAATAGCAATTTTTTCTTGTAGATTTATTCTACCTATCTTACATTACTGTTAGTATTTATCACCCACAATAATGGCCAAAAGTTTTATGAGCAAAGAAAGGTCAAATTAGTTATTCTAGTGTTTTTCTTATTTTTGTTGTTGTGTTTTTGTTTAATGGCTAATCCCACGACTTACCTATAAAGACTAAAATCGTCAAAAGTAGCAAAAATCATATCAATACTGTAAGAGAATTTAAGTACTTTATCTTCCACGTACATCTCAGTTTAACATTGACACAAAAGTTATATTTACACCATGATCTTCCCTTGGCATACCACTGACATACCACTATCTAAATTGTAGCATATTGCTGACTAACTAGTGTCTACTGGCCTTCATAGTCTCACCACTTGCTTTATAAACCTCCTCCTCTGAAAGCATAGTCAAGGAGCTTGAAACACTCAAAGATCATACTATGTTCTCTTTTTAAATCATACTATGTTGACTTTTCAAGGCCCCCCGGGCCCGTATTGTTGATGGTAAATAAACTCCTGCATAAGACATCCAGTTGGTCTCCAGCCTTTTACTTCCACCCTTTCTTGGACAAGCTGAAAACTTTGACAACAAATACTAAAAGTACTAATACTATCTAATTTAAGCACATATCAATACTGAAAACAAATAAACACTTAACTGGATACAATTTGACATTTCATTAACTATTCCTAAATTTCTGTGGAGAAATGTGTCTCTACCCTGACAAACAGTATTCTACAATACAGTGCATTATTGTATTGACCTTAGAACTATTTTACAACTGTATCATTTTAAGGAGAGTTCAGTTTCCTCATCAATAAAAAGATATTCCAATAGTCTATCTAACAACAATATTAAAGGTATATATTACACAAAATTGATTCTTGTGATTTTTAAGCCATGTTAGAATGTCATTTCTTCCTATAAAACATACCTGGAGTTGTGTTTTGTGATGTCATGAAGCTGTAGTTTTCTTAGTTAACAACTTAATTTTACCTTTATTTCAGTAGAGATAGGCAGTTACAAGGCTGAAATCTTTCAAATGAGTTTAGCGATGGTGTATGGAGTTTAAAAACACAGTGGAGCACTTCGTGTATTGCCACATGACATCCTGAGATCAGTGCTTTCGATTCAAAAGAAGAACTCAGCCTAAATGTGCAAGGTTTATGTGTTAAGCATGTGTGAATGAAACAAAACACAACTTGAGGTATGTCTGTGATGAGGAACAACATACAAAACAAACTGAAGCGTCCCGTTTCCACATCAATGTTATTTTTTCAGTCTATATCATAACAATATGAACCAGTATATTTATGTTTTGTTGTGTTTTTTGCATAGGATGTGATGTACCCAGGTGTTTTGAAGTAACCCACCAGCTTTTGTGAATGGCCCCAATGGAATGGAGGGACGAGACCACTAACAGCACCAACGTGATCTGACCATGGATTTCTTTTGACACCGGGGCATCTCGCAACACCATCTGCATACCGCTTCACCCACAGTATACCACCCTTCTCACCTAAACCTGACCCAGCCTTATACTTACAGTACTACAAGTATCACAATATTATCACAATAGTGCTTCAGTAACATATGCTACAAGTCAAGTGTATCAAGCTAGTATAACAAACCCTGCATTTCAGTGTTAGCATACATTGTGTAACTATTTATTTCAATGTACTCACGCTCATGTTTTATCAGTAGATTGAGTCATTCTCACACAGTATCGTAAGTGCATATATACTTTTCAGATTTCTTCATAGTGCTATAATACCATACAAAGATATAGACTGCATTTTTGCTCACTCGCATTACTTCATTGTGTATAATGTATTTCTATTCTTTGTGTTCGGAGGTAGAATGAGACTGAAGAGACCAAAGTAAGCTATGATAAGAAAGTTATGAATGTCAACAAATAGATTTTATGAAGAATGTGACGTTTTTGTGTTTTTATGGTGCGTGCCTGTATCATTGTTGTTCGTTTTATCCTGTGTATGTGTGTATGTGTTTGTCAGATGTGGCACAGTTCACTTTCACTTTTGTTGGCATACCGTGGGCTGGTATTATTGCGTATATTGCGGGGACTAAAATGTGCATACACTCAATTCATGATGACCCGACTCTCTCATATGGGGACAAACCTTTATAATTAGATCAACAACATGGTTTAAAGCTCGGATATGGGTTAAAATAGTTAAGGTTTAGGTAAGGGTTGGTCTCCAGGAAATGAATGTAAGTCTATGTAATGTCCCCAAGAAATACACCCAACATGTGTGTGTGTGTGTGTGTGTGTGTTTGTGTGTGAGCGCGATAGTGTGTTAGAAGCCCGTAGGCAGCCTGCCAGTTGTTTGTTCTTGAAGATGTGCGTATGGGGGGGAAAGGGAGACTAGCAAGCATGGGTCCCTCTGCCTATGCTGGGATGAAAGCAGTACTGATAGAATGACCCAGAACACAGCCGCCGTTTTTCATAATTACAGCTGTTCTATCGCTTTTAATTACTATTAAAGTGTGTAGAGTACCACGCGCCCCTGTAATGCTGCAGGCCATGTGAGAGACAGTGAGAGGGAGAGAGAGAGAGAGGGAGAGAGAGAGAGAGAGAGAGAGAGAAAGAGAGATAGAGAGAGAGAAGGATCCGGCGCTTCAGACAAAATCCACTTTCAAAGAAGAAGCTAAAAAGGGTGGAAAAGGGGGCCAACGTCAAAGCAGTGTAGCAGCCCTCCTTGTTTGATTTCCCTTCCTCTATCTAGTTCATGATGAAGTAGAGACGCTGTTTACTATTAAAAATGCAGAATGAACCTTTTTACTTCTCAGTTCTTTTTTCAAAATGTTAATGGTTGCCAAATGCTGTTCTTCTTTGCTGCGTCTCTGTTGTTTGCTGTCTGAGATTTGTTTGTAGATTGGCAGTAGCGTTAAAACAGTTTGAATCCGTCTGTGCTCCCTGTGCCCCAGCTCGTCTGTTGTAAGCAATAGGAATGGCAGTAAAATAAAAAAAAGTCTTCTCCAACATGCCTCGTGTCAGTGTTTTGTTAACTACAATAGCACTGGTGTACTGAGCAAAATCTTGTCTTGTTTGTAGTTATATAGTAAAAATGCATGATTTGATTTTCATTATGGTATCCTTTATACGCTCTGTGCCTTTTTACTGTCATGGAAAACAGAATTTGTTCATTTTAAACAGTTTGCTGTGGTCTAAACTTTGCCATCACTTACCTTATGAATTCAGAGCATCCTAATTATTCACAGCAACAAGTTTATGACCGTGTTTTACAACTTTCAAAGCCAGAGTGGAATTCTGCCATTATGGTAAAGCTAACAACACTAGCATTTTAATAACACACTTCCTACTATTTGACATATAACACTTTATAATTAGATGGGAAGTAGCAGGGTTTATAAGATTTATCTTCTTCCTGTTGTTCATGCAGAAAAGGCAAGGCAAATAATCATAGAAATATGTATTTATGTTAATTTTCCGATTTTTTCTTGTTGTTGTTCTCTTTAAATTGATGCCAACAAAAAAATAGCACGAGCAATAAATAAATAAATAAGATGTAGACAGTGCACAGCAGACTTACTTTGACCTCAGGAACTGCTTATACTATATATACAATACAAGGGCAAGACAAGACATTTTGCTCAAATACAATCGAAATAAACTGGGTTCAGGGCCTTGAACTACAACAGATATAAGTAATATATGAATCCTATTATCATGTTTGTTTAATATTATATTTGTTTAAACTGATGAGTAAACAAGGTGTGAATGATCTATCTGAGATGCATATTCTGTTTTACGAAGGGGACTAGAACAACGAATGTGATACATGTTATTTCTTTATGTAAAACTAAGAAAGGTAATTTGCAACTTTTTTAAACTTTGGAATTCACCTCACTTAGTTGTGACAAAAGGTATTTTGCATTTCCTCCTGATCAATTTGCCTATCCATCTTCAAAGCAGCAGAGAGCAGACTGGAACAAACAGCTTCTATGTCCCTTTGACAGATGACATGATTGATTGAGTTATGTTACTGATTTTGACAAACTGATGCCCTATATTTTATTTTTATGTCTCTCCAAAATTCCTCCACCCTATGTGCGCCTGACCTTCGAGGCAGAGGTTGACCGAGTTAACCATTTCCTGTAGCAGCCCGGTGACTGAGTGATGGATGACGGACCCTGTGCTCTTCCCTCGGGGTGCGCTGTTGAAAAGGGCCCCACTTGAGGAGACAATGACACAGAGCTGGAGAGAGCTACAGGTATGCATTGTTCTGGATGGGGTCAACCTGCAGACAACTGGCCCAGCCACCCTCAATTAGGGCAACAATAGGAGCTGAGGGAGATAAAATAACCAGGTGTGTGCTGGGGAAAGGTATCGGTTTGGGGTCATAGATCAGTCAAATGTGATGCTATGTGGCTATAAAAGCTATAGGTACGTGTGCCATACTGTTTATAGCCACCTAAATGAAAATTGTGTTTATATTTTTATGTGTGCAGTTTGATTTACTGCAATTCCAATTGGCAATTCCACCACAAGTGTCCAAATGGAAATGTGTGTGCCCACAGTGCTTACGTTAACACTCCTTTAGACTTTTGAGCAGAGGTTAACGCTTACAATAGCTAAATGAGAAAATACAGATTGTGTTCAAACTAATGTACTAATCAAAAATTACAAATTATTAAACATTTTCAAGTATTTAATGACACAATGCATATCCCTAGAAGAGTTGTGGCATCTACTTTTGTTTAGTTAAAACAACAACAGTAGGATACTAAAGCCACTCACCTTTACTATCTTTCAGAGGCCAGAGCAGAGTTTGGGCCTCACCATAATACTGACATTAACTAGCATACACTTCCTGACTCTCGGAAGATAAAACACTGTCATTTGATGCAGATGGCACACTGCTGCTTTTACAATACTGTATATCTACTGCAAATTTTGCTCAACTACATGTGGGAAAAGTGTGTACAACCACTTTAAATACCGACGTTTCTTTCAAAACCTTTCTTTTTCCGACAGTACAGCACGTGTAAAACACACATGTAAACGCTGTTTGTACAAATGAATCTGTGTGGATGTGTGTGCCTGCTCTTGAGTGCAGAGTTGGTGTTAGAGGCCCCGGGGCCCCTAAGCCAGGCACTGGTAATTGTAGAAGCTGCTGAGGAGCTGTGAGATAGCATCAGCGCTTAGGGGAGGCTGTTAGCAGTGGGATGGGCCCAACTCATTTGTCAAGTTACACAGACGAGCTCTTTGTCAGCCGGCACTGACAAAACACCAACTTGATTGACTACATGTGAAGCAACACCAGCCCTAATGTTTTGCAACTGATAATTGCAGCATAGGTCATAAAGAGACATGCAGCAAAAGTTCCACAGTCTTGTAAATACCAGTCAGCCCCAACAGTCATTGCTCTAAATTATACACTGCAAAGGTATCATTTGAGTCAATGTGTGCAATTCAGTCTTTGTCTTTAAAAAGTGAGAAATACATCACACAAACATGCCTTCAATTTTGTGCGTGTAATAGAAAGTTGCTTGACACTACTCTCTTGTAATTATCAGAATTCAAATAATTGTTTTGTTTGCTGTTGTTGTAAAAGAGATGTGTGGCCTATATAGGGCCACTATCCCTAAAGTTACGCTATGCAACTTTCAGATGGATTAACACCTCCATGGAGATATTATTGCTTTGCCTAGAATTTTCCTCCTCCTTGAACCACCTTAACGTGGTGGAGCTATGTTGGTGGAGCTTCATGCCCCTGATAGGGACGTCCATGGCCAACAGGTCCCTGGTGACAGATCAGACTAAGTGCCCTATGTGCAGTTCAGAAGCCCCTTCGGACAAGTGTAACACAAGGCCAGTTACGTTGCCTGGATTTTCCTGGGACCACACCCTGGAGCCAGACCTGGGGTAGGTGCTTGACGACCGGATTTCCAAACACGAAGACCCCTTGAGCCTGAGATTGTGCGGGTGTGTTAACAACCAGATATAGTCGGTCTCACCTCCATGCGCAGCTTGGGCTCTGGAACCCAACTCCTTGAGAGGGGCTGGACTCTCCATTTCTCGGGCGTTGCCCGTGGGGAGAGGCGGTCAGCTGGTGTGGGCTTGCTTATTGCCCCACAGCTCAACTGCCACATGTTTAATTTCACCCCAGTGAAAGAGAGAGTCATGTCCTGTGTCTTTGGGTCGAGGACAGGTCTCTCACTGTTGTGTGTGGTGGCCTACGGGCCAAACAGCAGTGCAGAGACCGATGACTCAGACGTGGACTCATATCACCCTGGTAGAAGTGACTGAGGTGGTTGGAAAGCTTCTCATTGGCAAGGCTCCGGGGATGGATGAGGCCCACCCTGGGTGTCTTATGTTTCTGGATGTTGTGGGGCTGTCCTGGCTGACATGGGCACTGGAGATAGTCTAACCTCAGATTCAGGAGGAGCGGTGTGGTTTTCGTCCCAGTCACAGAACGATGGACCAGCTTTGTACTCTCCATCGAGTGCTCAAGGGGTTGTTGTGGTGAAGAAAGTATAAGATTGCAGATATAAGTGGTTGAAATTTGTTTCCTTTGCAGGGCAGAGTGGCTGGCTGCTATTTTAGAGATAGAGTGAGGAGCTCGGTCACATGGGAGGAGTTTGAAGTAGAGTCTTTGGTCCCACACATTGAGAGGAGCAGCTGAGGTGGTTCAGACTTCTGTTCACTATAAAGAGACCTCAGAGAAGACACAGGACATGTCAGAGGGACTATACTCTCAGCTGGCCTGGGAACGCCTTAGCGTCCCACCGAAGGAGCTAGAGGAAGCGTCCGGAGTGAGGGAAATCTGGGAGTCCCTGCTTAGACCACTAAGCCAAACCTCTAAGCCAAGTAACAGGTCAGATCTATGGAAAGGCGATCTGCTCACAATATGAATGCATGTTTTTAGCAAGTAATATAGAGCAGTAAAAATGCAGCCTGTTATGTATGGGGAGGAAAATACAGTAATATCATAGTTTAAAACAAAAAAAAACAAAACATTAGGTGTAAACCCTGAAAATCAAAATGCAATTTTTTCCAATTTTGTAAAGCAGAAATCACTGATAACAGCCTTGCAAATAAATATTTGAATATTAAAGATACTAAAAAGTGCGTCATTCATCTGTTATCAAATTGTCCTAGCATGAATCACTAAGCAAAACCTGTGCACCAGCCATACAACATGTGAGATGCTGTTTATTTTGCGTGTCACTGGGTGTGGCCACCTCTGCTTTTATGCAAATATGGCGTCCGTATTTGAGTTTGCATGTTAGGTTCATCAGTATTATAAACAACAATTAGGTATGTACAATTATATGTACTTTTATGAAGGCCTACTGTCATGAGACAGCAGTACAGAAACTGGAGACTATTCGATTCCAGAAAATCCAGAATTTGTGGCTTGCAGCTGATGTCTGTTAACCATCTGATCACCACTGGCATGTCCACTAGCCCTGGTTCACCAAGAATTAAAAAGAAAATACTGGAACTGATGTTGATTCTGTCAGATGAGCACAGCGTATAGCACGGTATAGTGTGCACTTATGGTGCAGAGAGGAGAGGGAAAGTCCAGAGGGAGACAGGGGTGGATAGATCAAACACACTTCTGATCAAATGTGGAGCATGTTAGTGGGTCAGACCAGAACTCTGGCTCTGATAGCCGTCCGACAGAGCATTTGTCCAGCAGGACTTCACAGCCACTCACTCCACTGCGTGACCTATTTCAGATTTGTAATTATTTATTTATTTTTACTTTTTTTTTTAGATCCAAACATACATGGAAAACATCAATGTTTTATGATAGGCCTAGAGCTATTATAATAATACTCAATTAAGAATAACAGGTAACACGTACTTTAGTTTCTCTTTTCAAGTCATCAACAATTATGGTGTAATTACTACTTACATGAGCTTCAGCCTTCCGTTTCTGTTTGACAGTTTGATGACTCATTCAAAAGATACAAGATTTTCTTTTGAATTTTTATTTGCTAAGGAACCAATG